CCACTCTCCACGAGGAACACCTTTTCTAATCTTCCTCAGCATGCTTTCTGAGTCAGTTACAATCACGACCTGTGTGTGTCGTGTTCTCTAGCCAGCGAAAAACTGCAGTGACCGCCTCTACCTCCATTCTTAAGCTGCTTGTTGTGGTATCATATGCTAGGCTGTCCCGCATCAAACGTCGACCATAAACTTTTGCTAAGAAGCCCAAAGCACTTCTTTTGTCTCTTGAAATTTTGTATATTGTAATAATGATTGTACAATAAAGCATATAATATGTGAAATGTCGAAACAGAACAAATACCGTACATTGTAATAATGACAACAGAGTATAGGCCATATAAATTTTCAAAACACGATATGCAGCATGCTCGTGCATTAAACACTTCAGTACCACAATTAGAATAAAATACGCAGCATGTACGAATGATTGTATATTAAAACCATAATATTATTCAAGTAAACTCACCAACGATTTCTGGTAAAGTAAAGTTCCTGTCTGAAACTACCATCCTCATGGCGTGTGATGGTAACCATTGTATCTGCACTACTGCCTTACTTTCATCCGTTGTTAGAAGTCTGTTTACCTGGTAGCTTATCACATTTTCGCTGTAAGTGCACGTAATGCAGTCTCCTCCAGAACATGCATTTTCAGAAAACGTAGTACGACAAAACTGAAAGGGGATTACAACTGTGTTATAACAGGATCTTAGGGCATAGAATGCAATCAACAATTTCGACTTCTAAACCAAGGAGGAGACAAACAATTTATTGAGCAGTTTAATGAACCATGCCTAGCATTAGTTATGAGATTGGCCATACCGTAACTAATTCTTCTTCTTATTTTGTTGTCTAACTGATACCAATTTGTAGCCCACTGTTGTTGTTTTCCATTATTCGCTTTGAGCTACTTTGTAGTCTTGACGGATTTATTCATTTTAATTTATTTAGATTTCAGCTTCACCATTTATCCATTTCTTTTTCTTTTCGTCTCTCTCGAGCAGATGTTCTGCGTAAAAACAATCCCATTGTGACGTATGAGAGCGAGGGAGAAATCGCACACTTGCCAAGTATATCTTCTTAAGCATTTCGAGCCCTTGAGGTTCATTTCTGCAGATATAAAACACCTCCATTCATCTCTCTGGTTGGCCGTCTCTTTCCAGGAAATGATACAAAGTGTTTGCAGGTTTGTCTAGATATTATCTCTCCATTTTCTTCTTCGTCTGCCTAGTGGTCTACGGCCATTCATCTTCTTTTTTGTTTACAGTTTTAATTCTTATTTGACAGTCTTGCAATTTTGCCCAACCTTTTCAGTCTATTAGCTATCACGATGCCACTGATCAGTGTTGATTTAAACATATTATGAATTTAGCTTGCATCTTTGATGGGTCCAAAGATTCGTCGAAAGACTGTTTTCGAAAAAAAACTGTAATGAGGCTTCACTTGTTTTATTTGTGCTTAAAGTTTCAGAGCCATATAAAACGACTGGTCTAATCAAAGTTTTATATATTTTGATCCTGGTGTTGTGAGACAGACACTTTGACTTTAGCGGATGTTGAAGACCATAGTATACTTTATTTCCAGATTGTATTCCTTCTCATCACATTATCAAGAAATGAAGAATATGTCTTTCTTATGTGTGCAATCATTTCTCTTGGTGAGTCAGTTTCTTTCAAGACGTATTCATTATTCTTTTCTTTCCAAGGTATTCTCATCGTTCGTCTATAAAACCACATCTCCGCAGCTTCCAAATAATTGTTCAATAATCAACTTACTGTTCATGAATCTCACAGTAGGATTCGTGTAGCTTTTAAGAATTATCTCTCTCGTCTCAACTGAAAAAGAAATATTGCATTACATATTTGTGTGTGTGTGTGTGTGTGTGTGTGTGTAAAATGCTTCCTTTGCTTGCGCTATTTCACATTTAGGTTCTTAAACACATCATCCATCTGATGTTATCAAGGTGCTTGTGTACTTAACCATATCAACTTGCTTGAGCTTTACCCCTTTAACTGTAATGTTGCATTTCATAGGGTCAGTTTTCTCTGTAATTACCGGTACTTCAGTTGTTTCTACTGTTTAAACTGAGACCTTTGTTTTCAGTTTACTTTACCATTAGATCCATCATTTCGTGCTATTGTGTTTAATGTTCGGCTATAAAAACTATATCGTCACACAAGCTGTTGACAATATACCCATCAACCGTTATTCCTGGCAAACCAGGATCTAATTATTGTTGCACTGTATCAATTGAAAAATTGTGAAATACATAAGGTTACAGATGACAAAATGTTCTTGTATAAATTTTTTTTTTTTTTCTAATAGCGTCATTTCTAAATCACTGAATGATGATCTCATTGGAGATTTTAATTTCAAAACATACGATAAAATTATATATAAAACCTCTGACATTTCAACATAAATGAAACTTCTGTATTTTGTGTGCGTGTGTGTGGGATTTTTCATCGTCAAGACACAAGACGAATCACCTAGATTTCCAGCTTCAATTACGGTGTGAACTGCTATACTAGAACGTAAATTTAATCTGATGAAAGATTAAATCACAAGATGTTGTCGGAGTCTTCGAAACTGCATGGGTTTTATATAGAATGGTGCATCTAACATCATCATCAGTTCTCGTTATGCCTAGTGGCACATGAAACTTCAGAGAGGACATTCCATGCTTTCCCCTCCTCTGCAAACTTCAGTGCAGTTTTCCAATTCGAAGATGCCGCACTAAGGTCACTTTCCATCGTTCGTTTCCATGTTGTTTTTGGGCGCCCCTGTTTTCTCTTTTCGTCTGGTGTCTACGTGAGAGCTGTTTTGGCGGGTATATCAGGATTCATTCTCATAACGTGGCCAAGCGATTTCCATATTCTCTTCGTTATCATACTGCCTACAGTTTCTTGGTTTGTGACTTGAAGTAGTTTAGTGTTTGAGATTGTATCTGGCCAAAAAAATTTTGATAATTCTTCGTAGACATGTGTCGTTCAAGGTGGACAGCTTGTGTGCATCCTTATTGGTAATTCTCCAACATTCCGCTCCATAACGAAGAACTGGCAAAATAATGCTTATGTAGAGTCGGAATTTCGTTCCTCTGCAGTAATTGCTGAATTTCCAGATTTGCCTTATCCTTCCAAAAGCAGCTCTTGCTTAGTTCAGACGTGACTGTATTTCTTTGTCGGTCCTTTCCCGCAGGGATACCACACTGCAAAGATATGTGAAATGTTCTACATGTTCACAAGTTTGGTTATTTATGGTCAGTTGGGTCCAGGTTGAATGAACTCTGTGTGATCTAGGTTGTAGCAGCTCATTGTGGTTTAGCTTATAACAACTCTGTGTGGTCTAGGTTGAAACAATTGTATGTGATCTATGGTCTAACAAACACCGTGTAGTCTGGGTTGTAACAGCTCGGTCTTGTCTAATTTATAACAACTCGGTGTGGTCTACGTTGTAACAACTCCGTGTGGTCTAGGTTGAAACAACTCAGTTTGGTTTAGGTTCCAACAACTACGTATGATTCTGTTGCAACAAATCTTTGTGATCTAGGTTGTACTATTATGTATACTCTATGTTGCAACAACTATATGTGTGATCTAGGTTGTAACAACTCTGTGTCTTCAAGGTTGTAATAACTCTACGTGAGTTAAGTTGTAAAAACTCCATCTGGTCTATGCTATAAAAACTCCGTGTGGTCTAAGTCATAACATCTCATAGTAGTATGCTACGTAACAACTCCATGTGGTCTAGGATGTAGCAACTCGGTGAGATATAGGCTGAAGCAGTTTGTGTAGTTTAAATTGTAACATCTCGGTGTGGTCTAGGTTGTAAAACCTCATTGTGGTCTACGCTGTAGCAACACAGTGTGATCTAGATTTTAACAACTTCATGAAGTCCAGGTTGTAATATCTCGGTGTAATCTAGGCCGTAACAACTCCATGCTGTCTTGGTTGTAATAACTCTGTGTGGTTTAGGTTGTGACATCTTTACAACTCTCTGTGGTCTAGAGTGTATTACCTCTGTGTGGTCCAGTGTAACAACTCCGTGTGGTCCAGTGTAATAACTTCGCATGGAATAAGTTGTGACAACTCCGTGTGATCAAGGTTGTATAGCATAACTGTGTAGTTTGTAACAACTCCATATATTCTAGGTTTTATCAACTCTGTGTGGTCTAGATTGTATCAACTCCGTGTCGTCCAGGTTGTAACATTTCTGTGTAGTCTAGGTTGTAACAACTCAGTGGGGAATAGGTTGTAGCAACAATGTATAGTCTAGGCTAAAGATGGCGTGTCCTCCCTGTGGGCAGCTCAAGTGTATCTTTCGCATTATACATTTAACGTGCAGTATATAAATGTTTGCTCAATAACGCCATTTAGTAATGCTTTTATTGAGAGGAAGTGCTCTCGTGTATAAGCAATACATATACCAGCAAGAAATGGGTCGTCAGCTGTAATATGAGAAAAGGAACACATCTTCTCTCGTCTCACAAATATTGAGAGAACTTTACTGCATCCCCTTAAAGACACACACACACACACACACAAACATTTTTACCTAAAATGCCCTCAGTTATCATGTGTTTTTCTGGTAATTGTTTGACGCGGGGAAAATTCCATACAATAAGCAACACGTAGTATCAGAATAAACACACGTCAACATACTGTCATAATACAAACTGACAAAGGAGGCAGAAGAGGAATAAATGAGAAGAGTGATGATTATTCAGAAAAGAAGAAGAAGGAGAAGCGGTAAAGAAGAAGGAGTTTGAAGAAGAGACGACAAATAATATTATGAAGAAAAAGAGGATGAAGAAATAGAAGAAATCGTCTAAGAGTGGGTGTAAGTAGTATTCAGTAGTCCAGGGAAGCAGACTCTTTAACTAATAATTAATTAGTACATAAAACTTACAGGACTCATAAGGGTAAAGTCGTTTTCGATGGGTCTTATCATTTGTATATAAGAGCTAAAGAACCGAGGTGGATTTTGTGGCGCAAGGTCCTGGCCTGTGCCGGAACATGTAAACCTGTCCTTGCCGGCAAGTGCTGCATTGTCACAACTTGATACAACTTTGGGGTTTGTCATTGTTAAAGTCTGGCAAAATGTCCCTAACAAAGACAGCATAAATGAACAAGATAATATAATAATTAGTGCTGGTGTGAAAGTATGCTGTTTCTCAAAATTTTTGGTAGCTTCACAAATTTTAAAATACATATTACATTTAAAAAATGCACATTTTTTTGCGGGGGGGGGGGGGGGGGGGGTTTTGTTTTGTTTTGTTTATACCAATGTGTATACATACACACATACATACATACAAACATAAACAATTATACATGGATACATACATAACACAAGTTTTGAGCGCATTCATACATATATACATACAGCATGCATACATGCAATGATTCATACAAATATACATTTGTGATGAGGTGCTTTTCATGGTCTCCACGATTACACTGTGGCAAGTAGAAAGTCCGTGCAACGAGATACGAGAAAAAGCACGAGATACTTGTGGCTAGTCGAGTAAGCGAGGGAAAGCCCGAGCTTGACTAGTGGTCAGTTGATCAGCAGTAGTCATGGAAGACGGTTGTATTAGTAGAAGCGATAGTCCCTATGTCGTGCGTGTGATCAGTATTTGAAAATGTCGAGAGCGATAGAAGTCTGAATAATTGTGGAAACTGTCGATTAAATGTGACTGAATAAACTGATGGTATGTACAAAGAAGCCGAGTGGAGTTTGTGTTCTATACCCTATTCTTAACTCACCACGGGATACCCGAGACCAACTTATCTCGTTTTTCTCTTGTATCACTAGTCCTCTGACCTTGACCTCCCCATCGGGAACTGTCTGGGATTTCCCCGGCAATTTACAACATTACAAATACATACAAAAATACATGCATACAAACACATACATACATACATACACGCATACATAAATACAGACAAGCATAATCTAATTTATACTACCTACATGCACACATACATATATACATACATACATACATACATACATACATACATACATACATACATACATACATACATACATACATACATACATACATACATACATACATACATACATACATACATACATACATACATACATAATTACATGCATACATACATACATATATACATGCATACAAACACGTACATATATACATACGTACATACATACATACATACATACATACATACATACATACATACATACATACATACATACATACATACATACATACATACATACATACATACATACATACATACATACATACATACATACATACATACATACATACATACATACATACATACATACATACATACATACATACATACATACATACATACATACATACATACATACATACATACATACATACATACATACATACATACATACATACATACATACATCCACATACATACATACATACATACATACATACATACAGACATACATACATACATACATACATACATACATACATACATACATACATACATACATACATACATACATACATACATACATACATACATACATACATACATACATACATACATACATACATACATACATACATACATACATACATACATACATACATACATACATACATACATACATACATACATACATACATACATACATACATACATACATAACATACATACATACATACATACATACATACATACATACATACATACATACATACATACATACATACATACATACATACATACATACATACATACATACATACATACATACATACATACATACATACATACATACATACATACATACATACATACATACATACATACATACATACATACATACATACATACATACATACATACATAACACATACATACATACATACATACATACATACATACATACATACATACATACATACATACATACATACATACATACATACATACATACATACATACATACATACATACATACACATACATACATACATACATACATACATACATACATACATACATACATACATACATACATACATACATACATACATACATACATACATACATACATACATACATACATACATACATACATACATACATACATACATACATACATACATACATACATACATACATACATACATACATACATACATACATACATACATACATACATACATACATACATACATACATACATACATACATACATACATACATACATACATACATACATACATACATACATACATACATACATACATACATACATACATACATACATACATACATACATACATACATACATACATACATACATACATACATACATACATACATACATACATACATACATACATACATACATACATACATACATACAACATACATACATACATACATACATACATACATACATACATACATACATACATACATACATACATACATACATACATACATACATACATACATACATACATACATACATACATACATACATACATACATACATACATACATACATACATACATACATACATACATACATACATACATACATACATACATACATACATACATACATACATACATACATACATACATACATACATACATACATACATACATACATACATACATACATACATACATACATACATACATACATACATACATACATACATACATACATACATACATACATACATACATACATACATACATACATACATACATACATACATACATACGTATTTTATACGTGCATTTATGTTTTAGGAAGCCGCGTTAACGCAGTTGATACGAGGATCGCTTTCAAATCCACTTGCGACTCGCTGAAGCCACTGTCGGCGCTCGAAATCGGGCGGCTCCCGGGGTTCACAGAGCGTCCAGGAAATAGGTACCAGAGTAACATTTTGGTGTAAATTGAGGAATGTCGTTGTAGCTGCAGAGTTACATGCGGACAGTTTCTTATCAGCAGTCTGTACTGGTGGCAAAGCACTTATGGTTTATAATTGTGTGCAAAGACCCTGACTGACATCTCCCCATTATTTTACCTGTGTACATATTTATTATATGTGTACAAACATATACGTATATATCTTATATATGTGACGGAACAAATAAAATAAACAAAGAATGAAACTGCCTTACCTGCCACAGATGTCCACACAAGTAGAACAATAGTCTGCATGTTAACGCACATGCAAGCAACTTCTATTCAACTCTCTTGTATGCTGTCGTTTCTGAATAATTAGGAATGCACACACATTTGAGTAATTATTTGAATTAAATTCGAACTGACTTGCCTAAATTGTTTGACATAAGCCTTACATGTTAGCCCCTTAAGTTTTTACCTGACCTCCAAAGTGCGTACACGTGTATGTACCTGGTCTATACTTCCAATTTCAATTATTGCCCACAACAATATTTTCAGTCTTTCAGTTCTTGGCATGCACATAGACGCACACAGGATATCTTCAGACTTACAGTTCTGTGCAGGGACATATACTCACACAGCAAATCTTCAGTCTTACAGTTCTGTGCACGCACATAGACTCACACAGCATATATTTAGTCCCACAGTTCTGTGTACGCACATAGACACACACAGCATATCTTCAGTCTTACAGTTATGTGCACGCACATAGACTCACTCAGCATATCTTCAGTCTCACAGTTATGTGCACGCATATAGAATCACACAGCATATCCTTAGTCTTAAAGTTCTCTGCACGCACATAGACGCACACAGCAAATCTGCGATCTTACAGTTCTTTACACACCAATTGACTCACACACTATCTTTAATCCTTCAGCTTCGTACATATACACAGACTTTCAGATTATCTTGAATGCTGCATAACACAAACATAGCCTCACACAGTATACCTCCTATAATCTTACACTTATGTATACACACCTAAACTCCCACAGTATACCTCCTATAATCTTACACTTATGTATACACACCTAAATTCACACAGTATACCTCCTATAATCTTACACTTATGTATACACACCTAAACTCACACAGTATACCTCCTATAATCTTACACTTATGTATACATACCTAAACTCACACAGTATACCTCCTATAATCTTACACTTATGTATACATACCTAAACTCCCACAGTATACCTCCTATAATCTTACACTTATGTATACATACCTAAACTCACACAGTATACCTCATATAATCTTACACTTATGTATACACACCTAAACTCCCACAGTATATTCAGTCTTACAATTTTATACACGCACATCATTATTATAAATCTAAATTAATTCATATAAATTATTCTTTTAATGCAGGAAGTAAACTTTTACCCTAATATTGCCAGCTTGTTAGATACGAAACAGGAAGTGTCCTGCAGGAGTGTATACACCTGGTGCTGTCCCAACCGCTAACCAGACGTATGTAATGATGCTAGTGATGGTAATCACGGTAATGCCCTTTTCGACTGCCTAATGTATCTAAAACAAGAGACTTGTTGAAGAAATATTAGTCAGTGTACAGAGGTCACTGGCAAGTATTTGATAACTGACTGATGTGGTTCATAATTCAGGTGATGTCACTTTTTTTTAAAGGAAAGCCGGATTGCTGGACACGATGGCTGGTGCACTTCTTCTACAATAAATGGATTCGCAAGAAATTCAGGCTAGATACGGGATTTTGAGAGTTATGACTATTTTCTAGATTTTGGCATGAAAATATTTGCAAAAATGTAGAATTGTTTTCTTAAATAAATGTGTATCTGAAGGAAAAAGAAGACATCCCTCAAAAACAAAACAAAAAAATTAGTATTTAGTTAGTTAATTGGGTTATCATCATTGCACTCCGGATATTTCCATAGGTGCTCAAATCCTCCCCTCACAATGAACCCCAACCGCTGATGGCTAATAGTACCAGTTCTGCCTGGCTTGAAACACAAAAATACACCCGCGTATGTATACTCAGTGATTCAATGAGTATGATCCGGAGGGTGCAGGCAGGATCAGTGCGAAGACAATGGCTTGAATCATTACAGAAGTCCACTGTGCGTAGAGTCTCTTTATTTTTGTTCCGGGACACGCAGGCGTCGATGGAAATGAAAGAGCTGACAGGTTTGCTGGATCCGCTATCACTAACGACGGTCAGCCTATGGATCATGCTGATATTATCAATGCCCTCAGAGAAATGGGAAGGATGGAGGACTTTGGTGGCAGTGAATCCACATCACTCGCCAGAATAGCAGACTTGGGAATTAAGATCGGCACAGCAAAAAAACGAGACGCACACCAGACACGCCAGAAGACTTGTTAATCAACATAGAACTGGTACTATTACCCATCGGACGTTGGGGTTCATACTGAGGGGAGGATCTGAGCACCTATGGATATGTCCGGAGTGCAATGATGATAACCTAACTAACTAACTAACTAAGTACCAGTTCTATGTTGATTAACAAGTCTTTTGGCGTGTCTGGTGTGCGTCTCGTTTTTCGCTATGCCGATCTTAATTCTCAAGTCTGCCATGCTGGCGAGTGATGTGGATTCACTGCCACCAAAGTCCTTTATCCTTCCCATTTCTCTGAGGGCATTAATAATATCAGCATGATCCATAGGCTGCCCGTCGCTAGTGATAGCGGTTTGCACACATCGCGTAAAGACCAGACATTCTTTGAATAATAAGAGGAAATACGGCAAAGTTTGTGATGTCCTGTAGGATACATAAAATCATGCCGGCAACAAACAAAAATGGCAGACGCGGAGTCTGGAATTTTGAACTGAAACCGGAAGTGATTATATCATAAAGAAATCGTGGCGTAAAATGGATGCCTACACGTATATTCGTATATCTCACCCAACTTTTATCGCGATACCATGGGCATAATCAATTTGACTTCTTGACACTGTTATCGTCACCTCTCTTTTCCACGCTACTCGATACACAATATATATATATGATTTGATTTGATTCACAAACCGACAACACAGCACTCGGGGCATTCACATAAGCGCTCCGTCCCCGTCTTCAGCAGTCAGCGAAGAGTTCCGATACCAATAGTGCCAGTAGCTTTCTGATTAAATGTCCGTCTGAGCCTCGAGCATCTGCCAGAACCTCTCATCACCATCAACTGTATCGATCTCACCAGACTGTGGTGATCCATCTGCTCCTCCGAATTGTACACGCTCTCCCACAAGGTACTAACCACGTCTGTAGCAGTACTTCACCAAGTTGTGCAGAGCCAGCCAGTCTGTCCGCCTGTTCATTTCCCAACACACCTGCGTGACCCGGTAAAAAAATCCAGACAATACTGCTCACTCGTGTCCTCCGCAGCGAATCATGCCACTCTGCACGAAGCATACCTGTTGTGAGCTTCCTCAGCATGCTTTCTGAATCAGTTACAATCACGATGTGTGTGTGTCTTGTTTTCTAGCCAGGGGAAAGCTGCAGTGACCGCCTCCACCTCCATTCTTAAGCTGGATGTTGTGGTATCATGTGCTCTGCTCTCCTGCACCAAACGTATCCCATCAAACTTTGCTAAGAAGCCCTAAGCACTTCTTTTGCCTCTTGACACTGAACCGTCTGTGCAAATGATCAAATCCTCTGAGCGAGCATTATCTTGAATTATTTGCTGAATGTCCACCTCTGTGGCACCTGCTGGCCAGTCTCTGCATTCCCTGCTGAGCGTGAATATGGCTCTACACAAATCTGACTTCTCAGGTTGCACTTTGACCCACTCCTCTTCTCGCCTAATGTTCTCAAGGATGCAAACCTGACTGATTGTGTCTTTTGCCTGAGCCATCCATGACCTCCCTCTTATCAGCCGCTGACCCTTAACTGCACCCAGAGCTTCATGCAGAGGGTGGTCTGTGTCTGCAGCTACCCTGAGATATGACTTCGCCTGCAGCACCTTGTGCCTACCTGCAACCGTCGGCAAACCAAGGATGTATCGCATACACACCGCAGAGGTGTCTCTGGTGCAACCCAGAATGGCCCGCATAGCCGCGTTCTGTATGCTCTCTAGTTTGTCCATCTGACTCTTTGAGTCCCAGGCCATAATCCACCACTGAGAGGATCAGGTGCTGATATAGTGTGAAAAGCATTCTCTGCTCTATGTCAATTGAAGCCATAGTCTTAAGTGCACTAAGTCCTTTTTGGCATCTCGTTACAACACTCTCCACATGGTCCTTAAATGACATGCTCCTGTCAAATGTAATTCTCAGATACTTCAGTTTGCTCTCTCTGTTGACGTTTCTACCATCTATCGTGAGACTAGGGACATTAGTTTTAACGATCCTGATGTCCAGAGAACACCACACAACAGATGCCTTTTCCGGGTGGACAACAGCCCTATTTTCTGTACACCACTCAGGCACTTTGACTACTGTCTCTTGTAGCTCCCGAGCTGTTTGTTCCCTCTCTTCCCCCTGCCTAAATGCAAGTTTATCATCCGAAAAAGTCAGTATCCTTCCAACTCCTGATGCTTCTAGTCTTGCAATCTTGCTTGTATGCACGTTAAAGGGCACAGGCGAGATGGCGGATCCCTGTGGCAGTCATAGGGCCAAAGTGCATGGCTCTGAGGTCCATGAGCCCAGTCAGCTCACTCTGTTATAAGCACCTCGAGATCCAGTGCTACCGCCATAGTTCCCTGTCTGTTCTGGAACCCTTCATAGACGTCAAAAGCAAAAGTGGCCGCATTTGCCCAAGTGTCCTTTCCTGGCCTGTAGCTTCCCAGACCTTATGGGAGAAGCTTCCCCCTTTCCAAAAATTCTTGTAGCTTTACAGCAACTATCTTCTCCAAGACCTTCCCAAATGTGTTTTGTAAGGTGTAGATTCTAAAGCCACTAAGCTTAGAATGATCTTTAAAAGGTTTTGGTAGTGGGATTAGATAGCTGTGCACCCAGTCCTGCGGTACTGAAGCTGTCTTAATCCTCTGGTTAAAAGAGTCGGCCATCTCCGCCAGGTCTACATCGCTCAAAGCCTTCATGTGACCATACCTGACACCATCAGGCCTTGGTGCAGTGTCTTTTGCTTTTTTCAAAATTTGTTTGATATCTTCCACTTGTATCATGTCTTCATAATGCATATTCTTCAAGGTGCCAGTTAACTCCTTTCTAACTGCATCCCTGATGTCTACATCATTATGATCTGTCTGAGCTATAAACCTATGGAGAAAAGCCTCCCCATTCTCCTTGTCTATTGTCACACGCAC